GTTAGTTCAATTATAAATTAAATGGTTTTATTTCTCGCGCAGTGCAGCGCGTGACGAATATTAAAAGAAAGCTAAGCCGGAAAAATTAAAAATACAAGAGCGCGTGCGTTAAATAAATAAATATCTCTTTTTGATTTCGAGAAAGTACTTGAAATTTCTAGCGCGTGATTTTAAAATCTTATAAAAGGAGGAAAACATCTCAGTTCGTAGTAGTTGCATGCTTAGTTTGTTGTTGTTTAGAAAACTGCTCTTGTTGATTGTAGCGAATTCGCGGATTAGCGTTCTTTAGCTGTTTTGAATTACGTTCTATTGGATATTTGAGTAGTTAAAAGATAACTACTGTGAGATATTATAATACTGCATGATAATTTGAGAAAATTTAAGCATTTTTGTTGTGATAATAATAAATTTTTGTTCATTTTTTCATCGGACTTGTGCATTCATTTCATAACGAACCCGTACGCACGCAACAATTTTGGTGTCAGAAGTGGGATTTGGAATGCCAATAACAAGAGGGAGGGAAGAACATTGAGACACTCATTACTGCTTTTGCTGCTTTCCAAGAAAAGATGGAAGCTGACCAAACATCTTTTAAAGAAGAAATTAAAGAGAAAATGGATGCTGGTCAAAGGTCCGTTAAAGAAGAAATGAAATTGGGCCAGGAATCCCTCAAAGGAGAAATGAAATAGGGCCAGGAATCCGTTAAGGAAGAGATGAAATCTCTTAAAAATGAGATGAAAGCAGGTCAGGACGAAATGAAAAGAGAAATTACCTGCGTAATAGAAAATAAATTTGAGGCTATGGAAGGCAGAATAGACGCTTTGATTGAAACTAAAGTTGGACATATAGAAGAGAGAGTTTCTGCCGTCGAACAACAAATTGATGATAGGGTTTCTGCTGCCGTCGCCAAAGAAGTTGACAGCCTTTAAAGAAGAGCATAGCATAGCGACGGTAGGAAACAATTCTGAAGGGTTTTCAAATTTTTTCACCGATGCCTGCTCGTTCCGTTCTGCAGAAACTATTCTACATATGATGGGAAGACCTCCTGGAAGTGTATAAGACACAATTTTCTATCGTTAGCGGATGCGAATGGATGGGAATTCCCAAGCTAAGGCCTGTCATCTCGCCGCTTCTTCTGAGAGCAGACGCAGTGGATATCCTTCAGACGCTTCCCGAAAACAAAAGGACTAGACTTTGAAGCTCTATCCGGCGCATTGGGAGCTTGCGCTTTGGGGAAAAGTGTTTGAAAGACTACAGCAGGCTTCAACTAAAATCCCGTCAGCAGAAGCCCACCGAAACACTTCAGGAGCTCGCCACGGATGTTGAAAGGCTGTCACATCACGCCTTTTCGGAGTGCCCGACAGAAACAAGGGAAATCCGGTCGCTGCAATACTTCATCGACGGCATCCGGGATCCTGAAATACAGAAAGCTCTTCGAATGCAGATGTGAAGGACATCTGAAAAAGGCGCTCTGTAGTGTATGCCATGAAGTTCGAGGCAGCCGTCAGCAAGCAACAAGTAGAGATTCGCTACCCAGTCAGAGCTGTGCGAGTCCACGAGCCAGTGGATCAACTGATGGCTCGTTTAGATGATTTATCCAGACAAGTCGAGACTTTGATATACGGAGTAGGAGCGAGAACAAAGTGGCTCTAAGGTGTTGGAGATGTGGTAGTGAAGGTCACCTAAGACGGAATTGCAGAACACCCCAGGGAATAATAATAAAACAGAATGCAGAAAATAAAATAAAACTGAAACAGAAAATAAAACAGATGATTTTACCAGACAAGTCAGTGGCTTGAGACGGAACAGAAGTGAAAAGAAACTAATTCTAAAGTGCTGGAACTGCGGAGTTGAAGGCCACATACGAAGAAACTGCAGAACACCCCGAGGTACGGAAAATAAGGACCATTTCCCAGCAAAACAACGCAGTAAACAAATTAGTGACCATATCGAGGAACGGAGGTTGCCAGATAGTGAAAAACCTTGTTTTTTAAAGCTCTTAAAATTTATACAGTGAGTGGCAACAATAACGGACTGTCCATCAATGGGAATATCGATGGAGTTCCTTGCAGTATGATCATTGACACAGGAGCTAATGTTACCATCATTAGGAAAGATTTAGCTGAACAGTTTAAAGATAAACTTATTTGGACGCCATCCTGTGTTACCCTTCAGACTGCGTCTGGTGACAAGATCGACATAACTGGGAAGTTAAACGTAAACATCACGTTTGGAAGTGCCGCCTACCATCACACGGCATATGTGGCGGATATTACAGATCCATGCATACTCGGATTGGACTTTTTAAGGAAATACAATTTTTCCTTAGACTTGAAAAACAACAAACTGCTTTCAGGATCTAAAGACATGACTATCTATCCTAAGAAGGGATCCTCACCTGGAAATGCCGACGCTTTGTCCGAAAGAACCAGCTCGAGAAACAGCCGAAATCATGCTAGGGTCGAAAAGAAACACCAGACTACCAGCTATTCTCCATCCCAGATGCTCTTCGGTCGAGACCTTCGTCTGTCTTGTGACCGCCTGTTTCATCGCCGTACGGATGCGCCTTCATCGCCTGAGGAACACATCCAAGATGTCAAGGCCCGTTTTGAAGTGATGCACCGTTCCGCACGAAAGCGAGTGAACTTGGCGACGGAGAAAGTGAAGACCAGATACAACACGAGAGCTGCTGGACATAGATCCAACGAAGGAGACAAGGTGTGGTTGTGGAACCCGATTCGACGAAAAGGAGTCAGGCCTGATTTACAGTCACCTTGGGATGGTTCGCATACACAATCCTAAACAGGCTAAATGACGTCATGGTTCGGATCCGTGAGTCTTCGAACTCTTACGACAGGTTAGCTCATTACTATGGCCATAGTACGTAATGTAAATAATTGTAAATAGTATCAGACCATGGTCCTTTTTCGTTTATAAATGTGTATTTAGTATTTGATTTGTATTTAGTATTTGATTTGCATTTAGTATTTGTTTTGTATTTAGTATTTGATAGCATTTGATTTGTTTTATGTATTGCATTTATTGTTCATGTTGTTTATTATAGTAATGTAATGCTTATTAATGCATTCATGCCACAGTTGTAAGTTTAGCTTCCTGTCCAGGGATTGTACTGCCCGGGACGTGCAGTCCTTGGGAAGGGGGCAGTGTTACGAATTTGCTATTTAAAAAGCTAATGTTAGTTCAATTATAAATTAAAATGGTTTTATTTCTCGCGCAGTGCAGCGCGTGACGAATATTAAAAGAAAGCTAAGCCGGAAAAATTAAAAATACAAGAGCGCGTGCGTTAAATAAATAAATATCTCTTTTTGATTTCGAGAAAGTACTGGAAAATTCTAGCGCGTGATTTTAAAATCTTATAAAAGGAGGAAAACATCTCAGTTCGTAGTAGTTGCTTGCTTAGTTTGTTGTTGTTGTTTAGAAAACTGCTCTTGTTGATTGTAGCGAATTCGCGGATTAGCGTTCTTTAGCTGTTTTGAATTACGTTCTATTGGATATTTGAGTAGTTAAAAGATAACTACTGTGAGATATTGTAATACTGCATGATAATTTGAGAAAATTTAAGCATTTTTGTTGTGATAATAATAAATTTTTGTTCATTTTTCATCGGACTTGTGCATTCATTTCATAACGAACCCGTACGCACGCAACAATATGATCTACCGATCTCGAACGGTAGTCTGTAGGCAATTTTCTCGCAAATTAAGTATTATAAATCAGAGAAAATGAAGTTTTATTAGTTTCCCTACTATTTCTTTTGGTAATACAAGTTATTAATGGTAATTTTTCAGTCTACCAGAAATTTTATACTAATGTAACGGTATACCAGCTACATAATATTAAAGGTACGATTATTCTTTCTAACTCATTTTTTGTTTCAGATGAACATAATTGTGTTTAAAATCTACAGCTCTGTCAGTCTGCCTGCCAATCTGTGTGCTTTTCACTAAAATAAAATTTGTAAATCAATACCTTTATTGCTGGATAATGTTTATGGGAATCACTTTCCGAGATTTACTAAAGATATTTTTCAAAGTGTATTACAACATTCATAAATAAATTGTTCATAGAGTAAAATTGTTCAAAACAGGTGTATTATCTAACGTTATGGCTATCTTTTACTACAACATAGGTGCATATAAACCATTTTTATCTTAGTTTTATTATCCTCAAAAGGATGTTAGTTTGGAATAGGATATTAGTCCGGAAATGGTATTTTGCGTCGAAATACTACTTAAATGAGTTGTATCACTTATCAAATTGCTGCCACGAAATATTAACGCCGTGTTTTATATTTAAAGAAATTAAAAAATAATAAACTATCTGCATGAATTTATGTATGTTTCTCTCATTATGAAAAAAACAACGGTACCTAGAGCCATCCAATTTTGAATAACGTAGTACTCCACCAGAACATGGGCATCTGGAATCCCGAATTTTGAATCTAGAATTAATTTTATCATCTGTTTCATATACTGTAAAACTTTAGCGAACTTTTGAGCTAAAAGCAAGCAGGGGCAACACCGTACGGAATAAAACATTTTTCCTCCAGCGCGGAAGACTGTGTATCGGAAATTCTAAAGATATGCTCATTTTAAAACTATTTTGCGATATTGCTGTTGAATTGAATTTTCTGGTATAAGTGCGAAGAACTTGATATTTAATAAATAAATGTAACACACAAAACGCTAATAATAAAAAGACAACAAACGTTTTGTAAAGCTGTCTTCTAAACGTATACTGCTATACTGCTTTTAAATCTTTTGTAATTTAACTCGTGAATTGTGTATGGCGTAAGTGCGAAAAAAATGAGGCTTTATAAATGAATCTAAAGGAGGAAAAAAGAGGGGCTTTGTAGGAGTGAGTATAACAACAGACGTAAAATACCTTAACAAGCCCTAATGGGCGAACGGTGAAATCTGAAAACTTTCATATCTTTTTTAAAAAATTTCTTTTTAATTATTTTTTCCCTTTAATTTTAGTGTCTACGATCGTTCCCGATTGCTTTACTCCAGGTTCACAAGTTGTTTCCGACGTCGGTGTCTCAGTAAGGTAAGTACATTTGAACGATACCAAAAAAATTTGCATGTATTATAAAAGCTTGTGCTATGAATATGATTTATTTTAAAAAATTATCTGATATCTTTAAATTGTTTCTTCTATTTTTTATTTCTTAAAAATTCATACTAATAAAATGGAGACAAATTAGAAACCGAAAACCTTCTTTACTTAGCTCTTGGAAAGTTCTGAGCATGTTTATCAGGAATTGTGCTTCGTATAACATTCAGCAATGAACACGCGTTGTTTTATTGTTAGCGCCATTTTATTTTGCATTTAACCGATTATTGAATAACGTCTATTCCAATTTCTAAGGATCTTTTTGCTGTTTACAGTACGTTTCCACGCGAAATTCCGAAAACACTTTGCCGGGCCGATTTCATTTTGGCCACCTTGTGCTAAAAGTTTAACAGGCAATTAAATAATTTGCATTAGGATTTGCAAGAAATCAATTTTGAGTGGTAGTTCACTTTAAACTCCGAAATTTAAAATGCAGGTCTTTCCTAAAATTTAATAATTAGTCATTTGAAATATTTGATATAAAATTATGCACTTAAAAACACGCAGTTTCAGATATTCCAAGGTAAAAACTAGATAGGCTCTTGGGTCTAGCACAAAATCCCAAAAAACAGAATCACAATGTGTTTAAGTATTTTTAAGGATTCGCAATTATGTTTAATTTTGTATGGTTTGTTACATAAAAAGGCAGTCTTAATTTGATGTAGCTTTTAAATGAAATTCTATTGATTTCCAGGTCCTTCTTCTTCGGGAGCAAAAATATTTTTCTTCTGAAGAAGAGAAATCTCTGTTTTATATCTCGCAATCGATGGAGGTGTTTCGAAATCTACTCCACACTACATCCTTTGTCAGAAACGTTCCAGGACAAAGGTCGTAAAAAATAGAAAACTGCATTTACCAAGTAAATGATCCTAGCTGCTATCAAAGTAGTCCTTTTGACTATCTATGCACAGCTGCTAACGGTTCTGCATGTCTTGGAAGTCAGCGGGAAATCTTCAACTGTGATGCTTGCGATCTGTCTTTTGTCACAGCACATTGGATAACTGCAGTAATCTTGATGAAGCTTTCCCTCAGTCACCTTTTCACTCACGGAAACAAGAAAAAATCACAATAATCTTTGACACAAATATGGAATCACCTCTGGATCTATCCAATAGTTCAGCAGAAATTCGTCGTCTTTCCTCTTTCTGTTCATCTGTTAGTGAGTGAGGGATGATTCCTGCATTAAGTTTCTGTTTCTCTAAATCTTCGAGTAAAATCTTATGACACTTATCATGTTTCAAATTCAGTTCTTCTGATATCAAAATTAGAGTCTTCTTGCAATAACTGCCTTACACACTCCACGTTTGCAATGGTATGTGCTATGAACGAGCGATCAGCTCAAGGATCGTTTCGCACTGAATCTCTGCCTTCACGAAACCTTTTGTGCCACTCGAAAACACGACTTCTTGAAAGTGGCTCGCTAGCATGTGCTTGCTTAATCAAATTCCACGTTTCACTAGGAGATTTCCCGAGCTTAACGCAGAACTTAATGTTCACTCTTTCCTCACAATCAGCACCCAATGCGTAACCTTAACGCATGCCACACAGTCTGAACATTGTGTTGCTAAGCACAGCCCTGTCCTCTCGCAAGTTTGCTCTTAAACATGGCTAGGTCATTGTCCTGGAACGTTTCTGACAAGGGAGGTTTAGACTGTCTTTGTTCCTCCCTAATTTTAAATTTTACACTGGTATGTTCTCTTCTACACTGCTCTCTAAGTATCTCCATAACAAATGTAATGATGAAATATTAGCGGAAATGAAATTGTATCCTTAGATTGCTAGGAATATTCCATACATCAATAAAGTTGCTCAATCTATTGCTGTATTTTAAGAATTGCTAGCAGTATTCCCTACATTAATAAACTTGCTCAATCTGTTGCTGCATTTTAAGAATTGCTAGCAGTATTCCGTACCTTAATAAAGTTGTTCAATCTGTTGCTGCATTTTAAGAACTGCTAGCAGTATTCCGTACATTAATAAAGTTGCTCAATCTGTTGCTGCATTTTAAGACTTGCTAGCAGTATTCCGTACATTAATAAAGTTGCTCAATCTGTTGCTGTATTTTAAGAATTGCTATCAGTATTCCATACATTAATAAAGTTGCTCAATATGTTGCTGTATTTTAAGAATTGACAGCAGTATTCCATACATTAATCAAGTTGCTCAGTGTGTTGCTATATTTTAAGAATTGCTAGCAATATTCCTTACATTAATAAAGTTGCTCAATCTGATGCTATATTTTAAGAATTGCTAGCAATATTCCATATATTAATAAAGTTGCTTAATTTGTTGCTGTATTTTAAGATTTGCTAGCAGTATTCCGTACATTAATAAAGTTGCTCAACCTGTTGCTCTTTTTTATGAATTTGTAGCGATATTCCATACATTAATAAAGTTGCTCAATCTGTAAAGTATTTATGCTAATTAACTAGTTATTTTATGTTACAAACCTTTATTGCCACTTCTCTCATTCACCTTTCGTGCTAGAACGCAAATTTAACTCCCATGTATTTAAGTGAGATTTGAGATTGCTTTAGTCCGAGCGTGTTCCGCCTGCTGAAGGCCCCGTTACTAGGTATTCTTTCGATAGCATTTCTGTCTACGGTGTTGCTTTAATTTTGCAGATTGTGCTATCACGCCGGTGTAGATTAGAGCCAACTTGGCGCGTTAAATATCTCTGCATAGCATTTGGCTAATTTCCACTTAGATTTAGCTTAAATTTGAATTCCTAAATTTTGATTTCTAGTTCTAAATGCTGGCTGAGTTTTTAAGCACAAGGAGTGCCTTCTTTACAAATTATACGAGTTCTTAATAAAAGGGTCTTTTACATCTTTAGTACGATTCAGTTTTTTTTTTTTTTTTTTTTTTTTTTTTTTTTTTTTTTTTTTTTTTACCTAGACATAGCAACTTAGCTCTACGAAGGAGTCTTGACATTATGTACATTACCAAAGCGAGAGAGGTCATACAAATCTGCAGCTGTATTTTAAGAATTGTTGGGAGTATTCCATACATTAATAAAGTTGCTGTACCTGTTATTGTATTTTAAGAATAAAAATTGTGTTGACCTTCCAGAATCGTTTGCCCACCAGAATGCGCCGATGAGGATTTCAGCGTCTGGGGCACCTCCATCTATCGTGGACGTTCTTCTGTTTGCCAAGCTGCTATCCATTCAGCTAAAATTACGAACAGTGGTGGAGCTGTGGCCGTCATCAATAACGGACCCTATTCGCACTTCACTGGAAGCGATTCCAACAACATCGAGTCTGAGAGGTAGGTACATTTACTGGATAATCTGAGAGGTACTGCCTTGTTAAAGCGGTTAGTACATAAACGTTTTCGGCATTTGAAATTTCCAACTTACAGATTGGCAATTTACTTTTCCAATTTTGATGATTTAGCGTGGTGGCCATTTTAAAAAATTTGGTTTACTTTGCTTAGTTAATTATGGCAAAGAACATAATTAATTGTCTGCTTAAGAGGCGACCTTCTAAGAAAAACTGGCTAGTATCCACGTTAAACATGGGAAAAAACACGAAAAGGCTTATGTATTCTTTATTTTGTTTTAAATAAGTTAATGGCCCTGTATTTAAATTTTTGTGATTTCTTAAAATTGTAAATAAATTCCGCTGATCTCCGGGCCTACTCGCCTGGGTTTAGCGGATAGTAGATATTTCCACAAAATGAGCAATCAGTTTGTAGTCTAAAAAAGCGGTATGCTCATTTTGTGGTGACCTTATCAGGTTCAATGTTCCGTCTTACTTTCTTCGGGAACATGCAAGGATCTGACTCGGAACAGAGAGCTTACTAAAGCTATGTTCAATAACTGTGGGAAGTAGACAGGATACACAAGAAAGGTATACAAAACCCTTTATTTTCTCTATTTACAATAACTTCCGTACTTCGGAATAAAAGACCCACTACTTGTGGTCTAAACGTAAAAATATAAAAATAAAACTAAACTCTAATTTAACTTTAAAATAATGAACGTGGAAGATTGGCCTTATATTAACAGGAAGCCGTATGTAGTACAGAGAACTATGAACACTACAATACGTTTAAAGTTATCAAGAGGATTAAACCTCTGGCCTGGAAGGCAACCAGCAACTGAGTAAAACTTCTAAGGTAAGCGGCCTGCTTCGATTAACTCCTTCCTCTTTCTTGCTTGGCAAAAAGCCACAACTTAAATACTTGGCGTTCGCCAGACAAACTTTGCATAAATACGTTAACGCTTATAATTCTGGCCGGAAGTAGAAAATAAGAAGTGATAGTAAAGATTTAAAATAAAATAAACGTTAGTAAAACTTAAGATCCTTACAACCTGTCCCATTTACCTTGTCTTTTACCCATTTACTTTGTCTTTCATGAAGGCATCCCCCCATAGGCAGGTTGCCCACCCCCATATCGAAAACCTAATTTACATAACCGAACCCTCTATGAGATACCTTTTACGTGCTTTGCCTAATTTTAATCATTTGGTCAATTAATTAATCGTAAAACAAAACGACCTCACGGATTTGTTTGGTTTATGTGATTACGGCAAAGCCTCAAGGACTATCTGCCTAACGGAAGGGATGCCTCCGTGGAGGCTTTTATACACTGGTGTGCAAAAATTAAGGACGAGACGGTTTTTTCAATATAACTTTGTACAAAAGCTTTCCAAATCAACACATTTAATACCGTAAGATCCCCAATACGTAAACATGAGTAATGTAAGCAACACTTACTAAAAGAGAAATCAGAGGGATAAAAAGAAGCTTTATTGAAAAAGCAGCATGGAGCGCAATGCGACTGAAGGCCGAAACATCCCTGTGATGGGTGTCCAGCAAGAAACATCCGGTCTTTAATAGGGGATATGATCTCCCCTGACTGCTAGGCAGGTTTCACAGCGTCTGCCCATGCTGAGAATGAGGGTGTCAATGAGTTGTTGAGGCATTGCTGCCCATTCGTCTTGCAGCGCCAATCGAAGCTCCGGAATCGTTACTGATGGTAACGTCTGCCTAGAAAATCCCATACATGCTCGATGGGATTGAGATCCGGAGATCGTGCCGGCCAATCCATACGTTCAATATCCTCACTCTCTAAGAGCTGTTCGGTAACTACTGTGCGATGACATGGTGCATTGTAAAATTTTGCATGTATGGGACGACCACCTTTCATCCAATATTTCTGAGAATATAAACAAATTTTGGAATCTGAGAGTATCAGTAAATAAATATATAGAATATCGCCTCTCAAACGACCACTTCTGAAAGTGACCAATAGTTCTGAGATTATAAATAAATATTGATATTAAGCATTATTTCTATAAGACGACCATCTCAATATAAGACCAAAGTTTCAGAATCTGGATAGTCATCAGAGATGTATCTTTACTGCGAATTATCGCACGACTGTAATTCAATATCAATAACAGATCGCGCGATTGAAAAACATTTTCTGTCCTGTAATTAGAGGAAAAAAATTTTCCTTTGAGGTATTTCTCCCGCTTCCTAGCGTGCCTTCGGGTGTAATAGTTCTGCACGCTGGGGCCGGTTTTCAGAGGTCCGTGGTTCGATTCACGGCGAAGGCGGTTGCTAATTTTCATCTCTAGGGCTTCCCAAAAAATCCTAATGTCTCTACGTGGCGCCTGAAGTAAAAAGGTGTTGGATGAGGTATATCCACACCCAAGATTTGATAGGATCCCCTTAAAAAAAAAGTCGGCCTTTAAAAACAGAAGTAATATAAGGTATTTCTCCCTTTCCTAGCGTGTCTTCGGCCCACCAGCGGCCGAGCGGTAAAGTCGCTGAACCCTGGTAGTGCGATCCGAGGTTCGAATCCCGCGAACGGGCTGGCTGCATGGGTGTTTTCGTGGTTTTCCCCACGTGTAACGTGTATACGAGCCAGTTTTCCTTAGAAAGTCCTCCACGAAGACATCCCTCCCCTTAGGCAGATAGCCCTAGTGTGCTTTGCCATAATTAAATACACCACCACCACACCTAGCGTGTCTTCGTGGTGTAGTGGTTCTGCACACTGGGCCGGTATTCCAGAGGTCCGTCCTTCGATTCCGTCCATGAAAAGGAACTGCGGACCCATAACGCCTCTAAAAAGACGCACATATGGAAGAAGAATCTCGTTACAATAAAGGGTCCCGTTGACTGAACCTGCGTCGAAGACGTTAAGGTCTGTACGACTACCAAGCATAATGCCTCCCCAAACGAGAACACCGCCACCTCCATACCTGTCCCTTTCAATGATGTTCGAGGGATGATTGCGGCTTCCCCGCTCTCTCCAGATGAGTATGCGATGAGAATCGCTACTCAGACTGAATCTGCTCTCATCTGTAAAGAGTACTCGTCCCCATTCATTGTCTCTCCAATTCCGGTGTTCCCGGCACCACAGAGAACGCCTTCTCCGATGGGCAGGCGTTAGAGGTACACACCGTACAGGGCGTCGTGCAAACAGACCACCACCCGTGCAGTCTTCTGGCCACGGTAAAACGCGATATCGGTCGTCCAGGTCGCCTGTGTCGTGTGTCTAGCGATTTTCTCCCGCTGTCTGCCGCCTGTTTCTTCTGGCCTGTAAGGCAATATACCGGTCATCTGCGGGGTGTGGTTCCTCGTGGACGACCACTACTAAACCCCCGGATAGCTGTTCCTGTAGTTTGAAATTGTCTCCAAAGTCGTGAAACGATGCTGTGAGCAATTCCGAACTCTGCAGCCACACTTGTCACACTGCGGCCTTCCTCCAACTTCCCAATGATTCGACCTCGGGTAAAAGCATCCAGATGTCGTCTAACAGATTGATTATTCGCCATTTCTCGCTGAGGGCAGCAACTCGGTGTGATTTTAACTGCTATACGGCGTGCAATCTCTTTGCCAGAAATACTGATCTTACACCGACAACATGCTTTATACTACTCAGACACTCCCCCATTACGTCTACCTGCATTTCTGCGCATGTGGTACCGTACATCACCTTACTTAATCTCCTGATTGGTCTTTCTGTCCGCTCTGCCTCTTTGTTCAGCTGATATGCTAATTTTTCGACTTCGTCTTTAATTTTTGCACACCAGTGTAAGGGAAAATGGCTCGTATCCACGTTAAACATGAGAAAAACCACGAAAAGGCTTATGTAGCCAGCCGTTCGCCTGAATTCGGACTACTAATGTTCAGCGAATTTACCGCTCGGCTGCTGGAGAGTCCATTTTAGCAACGAAATACTGTTATTAAAACAGAAATAGCTTAAGTTTCCGAAGATGTCAAGTTGCTGAATACAGAGTATTCAGTACTGATATCCTTCAGAATATTTAGGTGAATGCAAATGTTTATGGAATATTTAAGCTTATTTGTTTAGTTAACTGAAAAAAAAATACTTTTCTCAGTCCTCCAATGTTTGAGCTGTTTCTTTATCAAGAAATGTCTGCAATTCATCGTAGCTTTCATACTTATTTGATTTTCCTACTCGCGGTTTGTTATTAAATGTCTTCGAATTAATCATGTTATTAACCCCTTCCGGTACGAAACACCCCCCCCCGGGTTTTTTATTTTGAATGCATAAATAAAAAATATTTAAATATTGAATTTTGGAACAATACTGAAAGAACTTTTCACACCATTTAACTGAAGTTAATTCTTCACACCAACCATAAATAAATCTTACACACTTCATGAAACTCAACACTCGGCGACTTTATCGCTTGCGCCGGCGAAATGAACGGAAAAGTACCGTTTTTCCTTTACAGAAATATATATTGACCAATGCTCACACTAAAATTTTACAAGAATGAAATCTTACAGACTAACAACAATTCGGCCGTGACTTGTACCAAGAAATTCTAACGGTAAACAATATGTGATAGGATCTGTAATATTTCCACAAGTAAAAAAGGTGTTGCCAAATTCAGTACACTAGAAATTTTAAACTAAATTATCATATTCAACAGTATGCATGACGAGTGTGGCTCGTCATTGTGCGATATGGCATGGAAAACCAATGCGATATGGCATGAAAAACCAATGACGAGTGTATTTCGTCATTGTGCGATATGGCATGAAAAACCAATGACGAGCTAGACTCGTCGTTTTACCGGAAGGGATTAATGTCGGTTCTGAATATTTTAAATCACACTTCTTCTGAATATTTGAATCCTTTGCCTACTAACGGGACATGTATGTCCCACTAAAAGTTTAAAAACTATTGCTGGATTATAAAGTGCTTAGAATCTCCCGAATGTTGAGATCATCTCCAATAGTTGGAAAATGAAGACGCCGCTGTTCGCGTTGTACACAAATGAGCATAGAGAAAAGAACAAATATGAGTTGCTCAGTGTGTAGTGTTTGGTTACGCAAAGAATGTTTACCACGTACCTTATGATGTAAAATTTATTTCATATAATAAAGTTTTCCAAAATAATAGGTGTAAGTCGATCGTTACGTGTGGGTCGATCGCTACGTGTATCCCATCATTAAAATTACTGGCTTCCAAACCGTTCGTCAAAAAAATCCCAAATTCTAAATTTACCTTATTTATGACATGTTTGTTCACTTGAATACAAAACGGGGCCTATATATATGAACGGGGCCTATGTAAATATTCCGCCTTCTTAGCGAGCCTTTTAGAAATTCGTATATAAGGTATTTCTCCCGCCTTCTTAGCGAGCCTTCGTGGTGTAGTGGTCTGCACGCTCAGCGCGAAATTGAGAGGTCCGCAGTTGGATTCCTGGCGAAGGCGTTGCTATTTTTTCATCTTCCATGCTTCCAAAAAATACCTAATGTCCCAACAGTGGCGCTCGAACTAAAAGGGTGTTGGATAATGACTCTCCTTACCCAGGATTTAGCGATTGGGTCCCCTAAAAACCCCAGTCGCCCTTTAAAAAGGGGAGTATTTAAGGTATTTCTCCCGCGTTCTTAGCGAGACTTCGTGGTGTAGTGGTCTGCACGCTCAGCGCGTAATTGAGAGGTCCGCGGTTTGATTCCCGCCGAAGGCGTTGCTAATTTTTCATCTTCTCTGCTTCCAAAACATAATGTCTCTGCACGTAGTCAAAGGGTTAAACAGCACAAACTTTCGCGTGCTCAACATTCTGTTCACAGGTTTCACAGATAACCGACTATTTTTTCTCTGCACTATGTCTGGAGCTCAAATAAATAGTAAAATAAATTAAGTTTCTTTGAAAATGTGTTAAGACTTTTCCGCTTTTTTTTCAGACGAGGGCTTTATGGTGTGAAGATGTATAAGTGCAACTTCTTGCTTCGTGAAGAGGTATAAGCTGAACCAGAACGTGCTACGTCACGAAGATTTTGCCTAAATGTTCTAACCTTTCGACTTTATGTCAGCTTGGTATAAGAACCGAAGAATCACAGCGCAGCAAACACAAACTGATATGCGGTCGACGGTATCGCTGAGACAGCTGCATATTTACACATGCGCAACTTTCGCGATTGGCTGGGGCTTAAACCTTCTTACACAGGAGGGAAAGGGGTTTAATGTCTTTTACTCCTTAATCTACAGAGCCATATGACTGCAAAGCCTTCGTCTGAACGAAGCGTTATGGTTTTTATAGGAAACCCAAATTCCTGAAGAAGGCAAAGAGAAAAATCATCTTTGCCCTTTCTCGGATTCAAATTACTGCTATTATAACTGCTAGCTAGATCTGCTAATCACGAGAACGTATGCAAGAAAATATGATTATTGTTTATATTCTCCGTTAGCTGAAGGGCAACTGGTCCAGGCATAAAATCCAGTGGACCAAATTCAGGAAATGATAATTTATCTCAAACGAATTTATAATTCTGGCGCCACTGAACAGATCTTTAGAGGTTTTGGATGGAAAAAGACGAGAGAGAAACTGTGCATTCGCTAGAAATCAAACCGAGGTTTTTCTAGTTGCTAATTATGTATGCTGACCAGTTACAGCATGACAGCACGATGGGGTGAATGTGATAATTCCTTCTAAATAGGGAATACTCAGTATCTCACCCTGTCACATGGTGATAAGAAAGCCGCCTCCCATGAATTTGTTCCTGGGATCGAATCTCCAAGACAAAATAAATATTTGTAAATGTATAATGTCTTTGCAGTATGGGAGTACTTAAAATACTGTTGATGTTGAGATCTCCCATACAGCCGTTGTAGCACCTCTCAACTGTGTGAGAAAAGTTTCGATTTAACCGAGGGCTGGCGTGGGTTTTGAAAATGTAGTGTGAAGATCTGTGTAACGCATATTTGCTATGTAACTGTACTACGTAATATGATGTACATAATGTTTATTTAAAATGTGGAGCAATTTTGAAGGAGCGTACTTCACAGTTTATAATAAGATACTTTCGGTTACTTCAGGGTTATCCATCATGGCGCCTTCTTAACCGGGCAAATGATGATGATCATCGGGTACTATTTTTATCTGCATTAAAAATGAGGTTTCACTGCTATGTAGATGTTGTTAGGAAGTTTTTAAACAATAAATAAATATTATCGTAACTTATTTAGCTTCACAGAAAAATAAACTTGTCTATTCTGAGCAATGTTTTTCTTATTTGCAACCAAATAACTCTTTTCAAGCACCAAATAACTCATCTAGCTAATAATCGCAAATATATTTTAAATTAAATGAATTCTAGCACAGTTATAAGGTTGAAACTCGCCCTACCCAAGGGAAAACCACGAAGTATTTTCTTCTGGCAATTCGGAAACATATAATTCGATTTATTTCTCTAATTGCTGTTGGTGTAAAACAGATTGCTATGGGTGTAAAAAGAGCTATAAGGTACTTTTCCTCTTCCTTTTTGCATGTAAGTACCGTGTAAACGTTCTGTATCTTTTTTTCATTTGAAAAGTGAAAACAATACACAGTGTTATTTTATACAAATATTTAATGTGTTTAATTAGATAGATCACGAATTAAGTTCATTTTTGTTTAAATCAATCCTCTTCAAAGTAAAGCGATCATATTCTTGAGAACTACATCTATTGCTTTTAAATAGCTTCGTTTGTTATTCCATAACAGGCAGATTCAATTTGAAAGATACAAATCTTATATTTTGCCGAATGGCAACAGACTCGAATTAAAACTGAGACAAAGCATTGACAGTGGAAGCCATTTAAAGATAATCAGCGCAAAATCATATGTGGAGAATAATAGTTCTTTTGGGTTAAAATTGCAAATCGGAATTTGTTTCTTTGGATAATATTCCTGTTCTTCATATTCTGATTTAGTATAATGCAATGAATCATTTTTTTTTTTTTTTTCCAGTTTTGATGATCGAGATGAAAGTTTCCGATTTGACAAGTTGCCTCCGATGTCACGTTCTGTAGACTCGAAAGGTTTGTGTATTTTAAATGTTTATAACGCTTCTCAGCTTTGTGCTAACTTAGATTTTAAAGCACCCGTTTCAAGACAGTTCTGTTTCAACTTAAACTAAATATTGGACCGAAAACATTACCTCCCTTAGCTTAGGTCGGCGGAAGATTGCCCCTGAAAAAAGAAAGATCAGTGTTGAATCTCCTCGAAACCGATACAGCTTTTTCAAGTTTGGTATGTTTTATGTGATTACGGCAAAGCCTCGAGGGCTATCTTCCTAAGGGGATGGATACCTTCGTGGAAGACATTCTAAGGGAAACTGGATCGTATACAGTTTACACATGAGAGAAACCACAAAAACGCACACGCATCCATCCTATTCGCTGAGATTCAAACCCCGAACCAAAATGCCAATGTTTAGAGATTCTACTTATCGGTGCCACCAATTTCTTTGAAACTTGTCAGTAGTCTTGTCATTTGCCGACTTTTATGAATACCAGTTCTTTATTAACTACTCTTTAACGCCATCTGTTGCACAATCGAAAAGCTACAATAAGGATATGTAATGATCAAAATTTCACATTTCGTTTTGGCATTTTCGTTGATTCACTATAAATGTCGGTTCACTTTTCAAATTTGTTGCCACCAAATATTAGAGCCCTGTATTAAATAATGAAGAAATTAAATAATGAAGAATCTACATGAATGTAATATTTCCCGCATTGTGATAAAACAACGGTACCTAGAGCCATCCAATTTTTGAATAACGTACGTTTCCACCAGAATATGGGCATCTGGAAACTCAAATTTGGAATTTGTGAAAACTTTCAGACTTTTTACTGGTTTTTTTTTAATTGCTTCCATTTTGATTCTATTTTTAATTTAAAATTATCAGAGGATTAATTCATTTTAAAGTTTCTTACACTTATATTTTTACGCTTTTTTAAAATATTTTTAAAAGATGTCTTTTGATTATCCTGACGAAGTTGGCAGGCCTGTAAATATCCATAACTGAGAAAAATAAATGAAAATTCATTGTGAAGAACTGCATTCCACCTCCAGTGAACCTTTCTGAACAAGATACTTCAAACTTTAACATTGATATAAGATGCTAAAAGAAAAAATTTATCTAGGCCAAAATTGTGGACATTTTTGGAAATTTTTATGTTTTTGAACTTTGTATGCTTATAGAAAACGTTACGTTTCACAAAATGCAAACATGTATATATCATTTAAAGAGAATTTATTCTGAATTCATACAAACACAAAATTCAATTATTGCAATCCAAAAAATGTTAAACGATAATAGTTATCGATATACATTAGATGTGATGATTGCAGTAAGTTATCAGTACTTAGTAGGGTACCCTATATTTTCGATACAGCTTTACATCGAGTTTCATTGAGCTGACAAGAGTTTGAAGCTCTTCTTTCGTTATTACATGATTCCGGAAACAATTTACTTTCATTAGTTCCCTTTTATTTGAGGTCGCCTCATTCGGACAAGAGTTTTCAAACGGTGCCACAATTTTCGATGGATTGAGGTCAGGACTGTTACTGCCCATGACCAACAATTTAATACTCTTTGTACGAAACCACTCTTTCGATATTTGGCCGTGGGGCAAGGAGCAGAATCCTGCTGAAAAATAAACGAAGCATTGTGGAAGAGATCTCTGATGGAAGGTAAATTTTGGTTTAGAATAGTGTCAATGCATTTCTGGCATTCAGTGTCCATCGATGACATGAAGGCGACCAATACCATCTCCTAACATGCATGACCAGATCATAACACAACGGGTTTTCACAGTGCTGAATGCAGTCAGGAGGTAGCTCTTCTCCCATTCTACGTCTTATAGTTTCGCTATCACTACCGAATAACGATATCTTAGTTCATCATTCCATATAACTTGTGACCACTGATCATCTGTCAATTAATGTGTTCCTTTGCCACTGTAGTTTTTTTTTTTTTTTCTTTGCTGAAAATTAAGATAAGGCTTTTTTCGTGGAATTCTACCCTCAGTCCAACATTTGTAATCTTCTCCTGATTGTTCTTGAACTGACAGAAACACCAGCATCATTCAGATCACTTTGATGGCGCTGATGACATTTTTCTATCTTGGAGACATAGTCGTTTTTTCTTCTGCTCAATAGATGTGGTGCACCTTTTAGGCCTTTCCTTCTTTGTTTTTTATGATTTGTCTTCTGATATCGTAAACAAAATTTTCGGACTCAGATGTAGTCACTGAACCACCCACTGTCTTGCAATTTCAGCATAGGAAAGACACTTCTCGTAACACAATAATATTACATCTTTATAGGTGTCCAATCTACTCTTTTTTGATGTCATTGCTTCTTGACTAAATATTAAAAAATTTTACAAAATTCCTACTTGTAATGCAGTTGTATAAGAAACAGGTCCTCCTTCTCCAGAACAAGCAAAATAAGGAATTATTTCAAGTGTAAACATGATGTCAGCTCTACTGGCAGTTTACTATTTGATTGGTTCTCAGAACAAGAACAGTGATTGGCCAGGAAAAGCTAGACATTACAAAACTTCATAAGTGTTTTTTATTTATATTAAAGTACATAAATTTTTTTGTATTGCAAATAATTGCATGTTGTGTTTTGTATTGAATTCAGTAATAAATTCACTTAAAAATGATATATACAAGTTTGCATTTACGTAATATTTTCTATAAGCATACAAAGTTCAAAAACATAAAAATTTCCAAAAGTATTTTGGCCACCACTGTATAATTTCTTAGAAACAATATGATTTATTAATTGTAATATTTTTATCCGGTTAATACTTTCCATTTTGCGTAATTTCATAATAATATAACAAATGCTGAGGTTTGTGTTCTTTTTAGTTTGTGAAAAAGGTTTAATGAAGTTGGAAAACATATGCGCTTATGTATCTAAAGTCCTGCGCAACTATAAAGAAGCTGAAGCTGTTTGTACAAATCTTGGATTACAGCTGGATGTACCCAAAGAGGAAGAAGAGAAACTTCGACTCATTACAATATTGAATTCTAAAGGTAAACTTTCACGGAGATATTGTATGCAAAAATTTTTACATTGCATTTACATGACATAAAATAATTAAAAACAGCGAACTTTATATTGTAAAGTGTATACAAACATGTATCTATCTGCATCAATATTTATTACCGTATATCCTCTTGTTTTTCTTCCCCCATCCCTTTTTAACTAATTTCATCGTCCAAAAAATAAGACCGGAAAATAGGACAAGAAATTTAAATTCAGAAAGACGCTTTTACAGTAAGAACGTAACGAATGAAAAATAGTCATGGATAAACTATAGGTAACTACCACAATAATTTTTCGTTAAAAAACCCACATAGTAATATTAACATTAAAATATCTGACGGTAATTAAGCCAGCGCGGCAAGTGTCCGGCTCACTTCACACACAGATGTTTCTTTACATTGTAAATTGTGACATTATATGAGTGTGTCACGCATATTCACAAAGCCTACAGACCATTTCACTACGGTCTGCTCTCATTGGATGAAGCATCTATTTGGCGTCATATAGGAATGCGAGTTATTCGCCTGTAGGTTGGTAATTAACGCCAAACAAGGAAAACAGCGTTATTTCATCGATATTTTTTAGTTAGAAAGGAAGCTGGAGGAATTGGGGAATATATTTTAAATAATTATGCTCTTATTACAGTTATTTGTATCTAATTTAAACTTAAAGTAGTCGTGTTTACAAGAAAAAGGGGTTACTGGAGATAGCAAGCATTTTAGCATTTCTGTTAAGAGTATGATGTGTAAATTTCCACGGCATTCATTTATAAAGGGAATATACAAATAAACCAAATGAAACATTCAGTAAATTTAAGGCGTTGATACTTCTTTTACCTAAATTAAGTATAACTAAAACTATATTTTATTCATTCTGCGCTATTATTGAACCGCTTTTCGGATCTTGGATCGTAATTTGCTACTGGTATCTACTAAAGAGTACAAACCAGTAAATAAAAATAAGAAAAATTAACAAAAATAGAGAAAATAAATTCGTTTAATTTTTAACACCGCACCCGAAGGGGAAAGGACAAATATGACAAAGTCATTCAATAAAGTTAAAATAAGTACGCGTAAAGCAGAATTTATGAAAGCTACGAGTGGGGATAGAACCGGCGATTTGGAGGTCTGAGAATTTTTTTCCACGCTCGTTAGCCCTGTGCTGTGGTTTCTCCGGTGGGTTAAGCACAATTTTTCGTACACCACGCTGAAATACAAACTGTACAGGCGATGAATCAAAAGTCGCCAAGCACTAGGTTCTGTAACCGTACGTTTCCTGTTTTAACCAATCGGAGCAAACAGCAATAGAAACGGTCTGTAGGCTTTGTGAATAAGCGTGTGGCACGGGTATGTCACACATGCCTCATTTTGTGCCATGGGCGTATCACACGAATGAGGCTTGACAGCAGCTCCCAGCTCGATCAGCTTTCTGAACAATCTCCTCCAACTAATTAATTAACGTCTATAATACAATTAAAAATCATTAATGCAAATTTGTTACCTTATTTCTTAACGTATTATTAAGTATATTATTTCGAAATTTTTAATCGTTACATTCGGCGTAGGCCACTTCGCCCAGGCACCCGGTTGTCTTAAACACCGTTCCACGTCACTCTTGGGGGCACCAAAAAGTTCTTTCCTTCCATTTAACCATAGACTGCATTATAAGTCTGTCCTTCTTTTTTTTTTTTTTTTTTTTTACTTCCTTGTACGAAGTAAAAAGGAAGTATAGTAATCGCGAAAAGTTTCAGGCAGCATATTTCAACGAAAATATCCAATCGACACTATCGAATGCAATTTAACGATGTTTTTGTGTGATATGTACGCAAGAACAGATAAAAGACGTTTCCAAAAAAAAATTAAAACTGCTTTAAAATAATTCTGAAGAAAATTTTCGTGGCGTCTGTACGAACGTATGTACGTACGTATCCGCTAACTCAAAAACGAGTAGCTCAGAACGTTCAAATTTGTATATAGGACTGCTATAACATGTACATGGCCACTCGTATTTGGTTGCAATCGGCCGCACCAAACGTATATAAATATATTTATATATATATCACTTGTCACCCGGCTCGTGATCTCAGTTTCTTTCCTCTTATATTGTAAATTGTACATTTTTTGCTTTAAAAATGATTGAATTGTGTTTTTATCTTCCGGTAAGGTTTTTATGCCTTTAGTAAATCTGTATGCAATATTTTAGAATTATCAACAATTTTAAAGTTGTTTAATTGCCGCTAAGCCTTTTTTTCATGGCGGCGATGATTGTTACATTTGAAAAAGCAGATAGTGGATTGTTGCAATCTAGAAAATTAGCTTCGCAACAACAAAGATTACGCTTCATTTATTATTGCCAGTTAAATCTGCTTAATCCTTTCAGGATTTTTCGAGAAATAAGTGTTTAAGATTACTTCGTAATTTTTAATATATATATTTTGGTTTTGTGTATTTTTGCCTTGTGCGAAGTGGAACTTAATTATGCATGAGAAACTCAATCGTCTGTAAAAACTGTTTCTTTTTTGTTTGGTTTGCTTAATTCTTTTATAATCGTTCTATTTATTATAGTACTGAATAGAACCTGTGGCAACGATTAGATAATTCTTTAAATGATATAAATTTTGTGCATCTGTTTAATATGAACGAAAGATACTGTTAGTGAATCTAGCGACAGAGTGTCGCTATGGTAAAGAAATAGAGTGAATTTAAAGAATGCATTTATTCTATTTGTTTTATGCGTTGTCGGCGAAGTATATTTGATTCAATCCAATAAGTTTAAATGAAATGCAAGAAAAAATGCGTATAATTTAATATTCCGTACAAGGAAGTCATGTGGTGTACACATTAGATTTTCGATTTTAAAGTATCTCAGTTTTATCTGGTCACGGTAAACTTGCAAATTACCTATTTCATTTCAACCTAAGATCAAATAATTTACATGAGCGTTAAATAAAAGTACCTCAAGGTCTGGAACATTTAACATTTTTCCTGCCGTATCCTCGATGGCTCTAGATTATGCTTTCAGAACGATTTGAAAAAGCTTTGCGTGACTCAGCCAGTGAATTTATCTGTTTTTGTAAAATCTAGACTGCTGTTCTCTATTTTTGTTCGTTTCATTTATACATGTAATATTTAATGTTTTAGTTAACTCATTTTTAAGCTCCATGTTGCACATTTGTGGTGCACGGAAAGATTGTATGTGTGTTCAAAATGCAAAAAAAAATATTATTATTAGTTCCTCGTACGAAGTAAAGGAATTGTTGAAATCACAAAATTTCTGGGTATCATATGTCAAAGAAAGTATCCATTTCTATCGCCACTGAACGCAATTCAACAATGTTTTTGCGCAACATTTGTACGTAAGGTCAGAATAAAGGTCAGAATAAACAATGTTTTTGCGCAACATCTGTACGTAAGGTCAGAATAAAGGTCTCTTTTCTCCAAACGAACTATAAAACTGATTTTAAATGGATTCTGAAGAGATCCTTTCGTGGCGTCTGTACGTACGTACGTATGTATGTATATATGTATCTCGCATAACTCGAAAACGAATTGAATTTCAGAACGTTGAAATTTTGGATATAGGTATAACATGTTAAACGTCGCTATAACATGTAGTTGGGCACCTCCTATTGTGGTTGCAAGCGACCGCACACCAAAAGTATATATATATATTCACTCTGTCACTCGGCTAAGTGAGATCATTTTTTTATTCTTATATGTTGATAAGAATTGTGCATTTTTTACTTTAAAATGATTAAATTACGTTATTCTTATCTTCCGGTTAAGGTTTTATGCCTTTATTTAATCTGCATGCAATAGTTGTAAATTTATCAACAATTTAAAAGTTGTTTAAATGCGGCTAAGGCTATTTTTTCACTATAGCCCATATTTGTTAAATTTTAAAAGTAGCAGACTAGTGAACTAAGTCTTTCTGGACCTTCAGTGTCTTTTTGCCGAGTGGGACCAAATGGAAACTTTTAGTTTTGTGTACTGAAAAATCTGTCATAAATTTATTTTGAGGTGTTATCTATTTTTTGCCTTGCCGCAAAGTAAAAACTGAATTAATCGAATGAGAAATATATCTCTAATGAAATTCGAGGTTTCATTAGAGATATATTTATCATTTTCTAAGTTTAAATGAAATGCAGAAAAAAATGCGTATAATTTAATATTCCGTTCAACGATGTCATGTGATGTACACATCAGTGTGTACTTCTCTTTTCGAATATAATTTTGATGTTCAAATAACCACTATTACTTCAAGATAATTTGTTTTCTTTCAGGAATACGTTCTGTTTGGTCAGTAACTGAACCTGAAACAAGCAAAACTACCAACAACTCAATAGCCATTTCCCAAAGTAGTAATCTGTGTTCAGTTTTGACAATTAACGATTTGGACTTTAAGAAGGAAGAAAGGAACTGCAATGAATTTTTGAGCTATGTATGCGTAAGAAAATCACAAGCCAACAGCCTAGGTATGTGATTTTCAGTTATCTGATGCAAATAATCTATCTAATTTCATATTTACATTGTTTAGTGTCAAGTACAGCTTCAAGTGATGACAGAAAAATATAAATTATGCTTTCCACTAAAGTATTAGCGTGTATCATCTTCATCATCATAAGAGCAGAACTCGGATCCTCCTATCCGGCACAAGCCGGGCGTATGATCAAAAAGTGGGACTGGCCAGAAAAAACAAATAAAAGGAAAAACCTTTAACTCCAAAATCTGAGTCTCAGTGCCGAATTCCAATTCTATCTTTGTTCGTATTTATACTCTTCATTATTGTCTCTGCAAAATATTTCAAATTTGAAAAGTTCATTTTAAACCTTAAAATTCTTTCTGTATTTCTCTCTTGCACTCCGGGTAAGCCTGCATTCATCGACGAAGTGCCTGAAGTCTCCAAACTTATCACAAATTAAGCATTTATCATTATTCTGTAGATGGAACCGGTTAAAATAAGCCGGGAAATGCCCATGATTCGTCAGTACTTGATTTATATCAACATTATTTATCATATTCATCTTCTTGTTTAACTTTATATTTTTCATTAACTCTTTTTTTCTTATTAGACGACTCCCAGCAAAAATTCCATTCTGTATAAATCCAGTTTTCCATTTCAGCAATGGTCTTTTTTCTTGAATCTTCGATATCAAAATTACCGGTTCCGAAGTGCCGCCATTTTAGCAAGGGTGGCCGCTCTTTCATTTCCGACCATTCCACTGTGTGCTTTCACCAGTGCCATTTAACAATATGTTTTCTTTCAGCCTTTTTAAACAAGTCTTTTATTTCATTAATTAGTCGATTTTTAAGATATGGTCTGGCGAGTGCCTGAAGCGCAGATAGGGCATCAGTATAAATATTGTTACGAAGGTGAGATGGCTTCCCCGCAAAGCAGATTTGGGTTGCCATAAAATGGCAAGGGAGACAGGGTTGCCACATTTGGCGATAAATCGCCCATTTGGCGACACAACTGGCGATATAACATGGACTGTTGGAACTTCTGCAACGAATTCTTAACGGTTTAGCCCAGAATGTTCCCAAACATAAGCCGAAAGCTATATAAACCCTGCTGGCTCGTAGTCAGTTCACTCAGTGCATCGTCGGGAGAGTATGCCTCGTCTAGAATGCAAGATCAGTCCGTCTGCGCAGAGTCCATCGAGTTGACAGCCGGGCGGCGAGTGCCGAGTGGGTCGCCGAGTGCACCGAAGGAGTCTGTTAGTGTAGCGCGGTTAGTGCATCGTCGAGAGAGCCGAAGAGTCGGGAGCTGTGCTCGTGTGTCGTCGAGTGCATCGCGAGTTGTAGCGTGGACAGTCTCGAGAGTACGTGGAGTTCCGAGAACGACCAAATTGAGTCGGGAGCTGTACTCCGGAAAGCAGAGTCGGGTGCTTTGCAGGAAGCTGTCTCCACCGTTATTGCCTGCCAGTGTGAAGGCTGTGTCGCTGATTGTTCCAGCGTGTTTATAGTAGATCTTCGACGACTGTAAAAGTGTTTTGGAGCTGTCCTGATTAAATATTGATAAATAAAGTGTCTTTCGATACTTCATCCAGTGTCGTCGTTATTCACTCCAAATCTACAAACCCTGTACAAACGTGAAGGAAGAAAATAATGTAACAACTGGTGTCAGAAGAAAGAAAAACGCAACAATATTTATAAAACATCGAACTGTTAATTTTTTATTAATCTAGTTCAAAGCCTCTGTCAATGCATATAGTTCTGCTTGATAAACCAAATTCATTGGTTTATTCTCACATTGTCTATTTCCACTCCATGAAAATAAATGACCACAGCGCTACCCACTTCCCCATCCATTCCAGAACCATTTGATGAGAATATCTATTTCGCCAGTAGAAGGAAACTCAAGATCATAAAATAATCCAAATCGTGTCACTGGGTGAATAATATCCTCATTCTCTTGTTGAAAGGCCTTACTTGTGAGTACTTTATATCCAATTTCAGTATCTATAATAATTTTATTAGCTAATAGAAATTTTTTAATATTATCTGCAACCGTGGATTGTCACCTTAGAGATGTTTCCTTATATCTCTAAGAAGAAGTTTCCTCTCCTTAACAAGTTGAAATATCTCTGTGAAAAAAAACACGCCTACCTACCCCCTAAAAATTCACAAAAAATCAAAATTCCTTCATTATCCCTTTTCATGTGATATTCTTTTAGCGTTAGCTGAAACAAACCTACAGCTTAATGAAAGATGAGATCTCAAGCATTTTAAATTGCTAATAGTCGAATTCAACTGTAACTATACATGGAAAAATAATTTAAAATATCTAGGATCAGTTAGCCTGAAAAAAAGGGTATATTTTCGGGAAATGAAAGAATTATTATAAGTTTTATTTAATATCTTAATTTGTGATTTTGAAAGCGAGCAGCAGCAGCATCTTTTAAAATTAAGTATTTTTATCTCTAGCGCGCGAGACTGTTGCCACGCGGAAAAATTAGTGCGAAAATTATTTTTAGAGTTTTTAATTAATATCTCGGCTAATTAAAGTCGTACGAAGATGGGAACAGTTGAAATGGCTTCCCACGAATTTTTGGAATCGGGAATAATGTATTTAATATATTTGGCAATGCTATTTTTATTTCATTGTAAAACTTAGAAATTTTTTATTAACAAACTCTACGATTTGAAGGTGAGCAGTGGCAACACTTCTCGAAATAAAGCAGATTTTTATCTCTAGCGTGCGAGATTGTTGCCACTCGAAAGAATGAGGGCGAAAATTAGCGTATAATTAATATCTCTGATTTTTAGCTATTTTTTGGGGGGGGAAGTGGACGTCGACTTTTCCCAATTAATTAATCGCGACCAAACAAACACACAAACAGACATTCTTCTTTATATATATAGATGTACTATTTCCATACTACTTAAACACGTATGTTGCATATGGAAATAATATGACCTTATAAAGTTTGGTATGTTTGCAGTAATCAAACAGAGTCCAAACTCTTGGTAAATGTTAAGCGAATTATCGTTCAATCTAAACAAAACCTAAGAGAAACGAAGGCATACCTAGTGTTTACAGTTAAGCCAGCAGTTATGGTTAGATAACTTAAGAGTAAGACTCGCCGGCTCGTGTCGTTTGTTGTTGAAAGGGTTGCGCCCGCTTTTCTTCATAAGTTCAACAAACCAGGCGGAAGGGCTGCGCCCGTATAAAACAAAACAAACAAAACTTAAGAGTAAGTCAAACGTAAACTTTAAATTAAATAAATAAATTAATAGTCAAAGGCTACACAGATCAGTTTAACGCGAAGTTGGCTCACAGGTCTAACCGGTGTGGAGATTCAGTGTATCAGCAATTATAATGCAAGGCCGAAGACTAAAAATGTTATCTAGCTGGTAACCTAGTAAAGTAGCCTAGAGAGGCAAAACTTGCTCTATCGTAGAGTCTTAAATCTTTACCTTAAATAAATACACGCGAGTTAATTTGCATTTTGGCGTGCAAACGGAAGAAGAACTGGCGATTTGGCTCAGTTCTTCCCCCCCCCCCAATTTTGATAGAGAGCACCCCGGGGGCCTGAGGATCTCCCACCTCTCTCACCTTCCACAAATCCACACGAGAGGACTTTCCGCTCGTCGCATATTTAGAGTGCCCCCATGTCGCACCGACACTATACATTTACAAACATTCTCCGGGATTCGAACCCGGGGCCTTCGGCACGACAGTTAGCGACGCTAACCAATATACTGGTTGGACATCATAAAGAATCCCACAACCTAAAAGAAGTTCTATCTTCTGTTTCTGCTTATTATTAAAAAATATTTGGCTGCATCTTCTCAAACTGTTCAAGGAGTCGCCCAATCGGGATAGAGGTTAGTGACTACGACCGCCGTACCGATGGGCCCATGTTCGAATACCGAAGAAGGCATGGATATTTATAAATATATAGGGTCTGTGCGGCAGAAACTGAGTTAAAATCAAGTTGTCACCAGTATGATGCTTAAGACTCTTGCCAACGACAGGTGCATTTGACTCCTTGCCATAATGAATGTCATGTGCTTGAGCTGACCATTGTCAGACAGGTGATATTGGTAACAACAACAACACAGTTCAAGGAAATTTTAAAATTATTGAGCAATTTTGCCATTTCTTAAACTCCACATTTCGTGGAAACTTATTAATTTCCTATAGTGCATTTCTAATTTCAAAATTCTTAAAGTCATAATTTTGTATTATATAGTACCCCCTAAAAATTCACAAAAAATCAAACTGCATAATTAACAACTGCATAATTAGCTGCATAATTAAAAAAAACAAATTGCATAATATTTTTAGAGCTGATAATGAAACAATTTTTAATATTAATTACTTATTAGTAGTGTTGCGTTTTTCTTTTCTGACACCATTTCGTACGGAGTTCGTAGATGTGGAGTGAATAACGACGACACTTCATGAAGTATCGAAACACACTTTATTTAGCCAATATTAATCAGGACAGCACTAATAACACTTTTTTACAGTGTTTCGATGAACTACTATAAACACGCTGACACGATCAGGGACACAGCCTTCAGGTTATCAGGCTATCACGGTGGAAACAGCTTCACTGTAAAGCACTAGAATACAGCTCCCGACTCTGCTTTGTCGTTCTCGGAACTCCACGTACTCTCGAGACTCTCCACGCTACAATCGCGATGCACTCGACGACACACAGAGCACGGCCGCCGACTCTTCGGTTCAATCGTTCCCAGAGCTCACCACGCTCTCTCGACGATGCACTAACCGCGATACACTAAGAGACTCCTTCGGTGAATTCGACGACTTACTCGGCACTCGCTGCCCGGCTGTCAACTCGATCAACTCCGCAGGGATTGACTCGTTAGAGGAGACACCAACTCGATACTGGATTCTCTCGCACTCTATGCGAGGCACACACACACACACACACTGACTGCGGACCAGCAGATTTTATATAGCTTTCGGCTTGCCTTCGAGAACATTCTGGGCTAAACTGGT